AGGGTGTCGCTAAGTGGTAGCTGGGGTCTTATTAAGTGGTAGCTATGGTGTTCCAGATAGTTGCTAGGGTGTTGCTAAGTGGTAGCTACGGTGTTCCAGGTGGTTGCTAGGATGTGGCAAAGTGGTAGCTATGGCATTTCAGGTGGTTGCTAGGGTGTTGCTAAGCAGGTGCTTTGGTGTTTCAGGTGGTTGCTAGGGTGTTGCTTAGTGGTAGCTGTGGTGTTCCAGGTAGTTGCTGGGGTGTTACTGAGCAGCTGCTCTGGTATTTCTGGTGTTTGCTAGAGGGTTGATAACAGTTGCTATGGTATTCCTAGGTGTTTGCCTTGGTGTTGCTCTGAAGTTTCTATGGTATTCCAGGTCTTTGCTATGGTGATGTTAACCGCTATGGTGTCTCTGGTGCTATGGTGTTGCTAAGTGCTATGATCCTATAGTGTTCCAGGTGCTGAGTGCTAAGATTCGATGGTGTTCCAGGTGGTTGCTAGCATTCTTCTATCATGGTGACATAGGATATACACAGATGTACAACTTTTGTCCTCACAGTTCTGCCGTTCATCCCCACAGGAAAAATATCAGATTTTAAATGGTTGCTACATGGCGATCAAGTATTCAGTCACAAAGCTGTATACAATCCCTCCAGCCTGATCAGACAGAACATTCTGGAGTTACTTTGGTGAAGGAGAAGAAATGCAGTGCACAGTTCAATCCCTGTACAGTCACCAACTCCAGACGTCTAAGAGTTAATCATGTCCGCATCAGATTCCATGAATCCTTGTAACTGTCACTCATCTCATTCTCTGACGTAGGTCTTTACAACCCTCCTGACCTCCCCCCGCCGGCCATTCAGAGGCAAGCATTCACCCGTTTCCTGGCAACCGTAGCATGTGTGGCCTGGGCTCAGGGTGGGCCTCGTCGCCATGGTTACCAGCAACACACACTACGTGTGGCCCATTGGGATGCATAAGCAATTACGGGAACTTTTAATCGGCTGTGTTACGGAGAGGCCGGACAATAGTCATCGAATTGATTTATATAGAGAGGAATGCCACCTTTTGTTGACTAAGCAGGAATGCAGGGAAAAAAGTGCTGCCGTTTAGAAGCGAGTGATGAAGCTGTTTGTAGTGGAAACCGATAAGAGTGAAAGAGAAGAAGGAGGAAAGGAACAGTTTGTGTTTTGTGTAGTATCTACAAAAGAGAAAGAATAGAGAAGGCCACCGTGACTTATTAGACCTTATTAGCATTATCAGGCTATCTGTTTTCACACGGTACGTTTGGTCTCTCTGGACGTGAAGCGAAGGTTGGCTCAGAGGCCGGGACGTGACGAGGGTTTGGAGATTAACTCAGCTGTGAACAAGCCCTTAACCAGAGGGCTCATTACGCCCAATTTCCTCAGCCGCTGAAGACACTGCGAACGCCGTCCGCCGTCTGTCTGCGCCTTTGAAGCTCAACATGAAACACTTCAGTGCCCCGACAGCTTAAAATAGAGCTTATTCTCAGACGTTCCTTCTCCAAGGCTTCCTCTTTCCTGAAATACCTACCACCTGCCTGGGGATCCCTGGACAATATATATAAAAACAACATTATTACTAATAATTATATGAATTTATTTTCAGTTATATGAAAATCTCACCAGTGTTTTGGAGCTCAGAGGAAAGCATCCATATATGCCTGGCAACTTGTGTCATATACAAAAATAGCTACCTATATATGAATAACAATATGAAAAAACATTTTTCTATAACATATACAATTTAATGCAGTAATATATTTTAAATAACGTGGCCAGCTAACTCTATCCTGCTGGTGTGTGCAGCTGTGAGTGAACAGCTAGACTTCTTCAAACCTTTGCTTTATGGCTTAAACAGGCACTAGTATCAAAAAGAATGATTGGATAATTATTGTTTTATTGCACAGGTATGCAAGAGACTTCTCTGCTAATATATCCACTGGTGGGCGCTGTGGGCGTCTGCCGACTAGTCAAGGACACTGACAGATTTTAACTAGAAGTTTGTCAAAACATTTAGTTGGCTTGACAAAGCCGTGGTCATGGAATTCCAGGTGGTTGTTAAGGTGTTGCTATGTTATCCCAGGTGGTTGCTAAGGTGTTGCTATGTTATCCCAGGTGGTAGCTATTGTGTTGTTGGGCCTTTGCTATGGAATCCAACATTGTAAAAAAATTACATCATGTAGTAACAAGCAATTGAACTAGATTTAACTCAAAAATAATAATATTGAAAGAATCGTTCATTCAAAGTATTTATTTAGATTGAAAAAAACTAGTTAGCCTAGTTGTTACCACATGAAGTACCTGTTTTAGGTTGAATTGACGAGCCGTTTTTTACAGTGCAGGTGGTTGCTAAGGTTTTGCTGGGTTGTTGCTGTTATCCCAGGTGGTTGCTAAGGTGTTGCTAGGCCATTGCTATTGTATCCCAGGTTAGCTATTTAGCTAATTTAATTAGCCAGCAATCGAACTGCTTCCTCAGTTTGGAAGTTGAGAGTTGAGTAGAACATTTAAGCAACAGCATGCTTATTATAAAACAACAAAATAGAAGGAAGATACGAGTTAAGATTAGTTAGCCAGCTGGCTAACTGCTTCCTCAGGTTGGAAGCTTTTTGTGTTGATTTTTGAAAAGAGGAGATTCTTGTTAAGTCTATCCGTTATTTGCTGTAATACATTATTAGTTTACTTCTACATTTAACGTTTTAATTTAATCTTCAGTCAAAAGTAAAACTTGGCCCATTCTAAGCACTCAGAAAGCGTCTTATCACAGCAAATATGAGTAGCATACGTAGTTTATTGCTTCGGTGCTTTCATTGAGGGGACGCATCGTTTCTCTGTCATTCTGCTTTAACTGGGTTTGCTGGGTCATTGCTGTGTTGTCCCACGTGGTTGCTAAGGTCTTGCTAAGCCATTGCTATGGTATCCGGTATCCCAAGTTAAGCCTAAGATAAAATGCTTGTAGGAAAGTAGCTATGTAGCTCATTTTAATTAGCCAGCTAGCTAATTGCTTCCTTAGGTTGGAAGCTTTTTGTGTTGATTTTTGTAAAGAGATTTGTGTTAAGTCTATATAAATTATTTACGATAATACATTATTAGTTTACTTTTACATTTAACTTTTTATTTGGACCTCAAGTAAAAAGTAAAACATAGCCTGTGCTAAGCTTTCAGAAAGCGTCTTATCACAGCAAATATGAGTAGCATATGAAGTTAATAGCTTCCTAACTGGGTTTGCTGGGTCGTTGATGTATTGTCCCAGGTGGTTGCTAAGGTGTTGCTAGGCCATTGCTATGGTATCCCAGGTTAGTCTAAGATAAAATGCTTATAGGAAAGTAGATTTTTAGCTAATTTTAATTAGCCAGCTAGCTAATTGCTTCCTCAGGTTGAGTTGAGTGTTGAGTAGAACATTCAAGCAATAGCTAGCTTGTTATAAAACAACAAAAAAGAAGGAAGATAAGAGCTGTTTAGCTAAGATTAGTTAGCCAGCTGGCTAACTGCTTCCTCAGATCAGAAGCTTTTTGTGTTGATTTTAGTAAAGTGGAGATTCTTGTTAAGTCTATAACAGTTATTTACTGTAATACATTATTAGTTTACTTTTACATTTAACTTTTTACTTGAATCTCAAATAAAACGTAGCCCAAGCTAAGCATTCAGAAAGCGTCTTATCACAGCAAATATGAGTAGCATATGTCGTTTATTGCTTCTGTGCTTTTCTTGAGGGGACTCGTCGCTCCTCTGTCATTCAGAGGCTTTGCTGGATGAATTCTGGGTAAGAAAATCCCCAGGATTTTCTCAATTAGCTTCTTAATTAGCTCCAGCTATTGTTCCATTCTTCTCATTAATCCACAGCAATTAGAATCTGCTTCCTTTCACGCGCTGAATCAGTGTGAGATCCTTCGGCGGCGCGGCGGCTGTTCCACACGTTTAAATGGAGAGCGTGTTTGATTTCTGGTGTCAGATTGATCAAAGTGAAGAGCGCTATGTGTGCAATTAGTAATGAGGGAGAAGCTCCTGCCAGTGTAAGAGCCTCCAGCTTTCTCCAGCTTCTATCTTTTCCTGCACTGAATCCATCCTGAGAGCTTTTTAGTGCTGTAATGATGATGTGATGATGCTTCAGAGAGCTGTTCAGAACTGTGTGAATCTGTTAGAGGATTTATCTTTTTGGAAATAAATTCTAATTAAGTTCTAATGACACATCACCCACACAAACCGCACTTATAATAGAAGTCCATGGGCAGCTGCTGGACTGTGAATCTGTGCACTATGCAAAAGTCCATGTATTCAATACACTGTAATTCATGTTTTAGGAGGTATTTCTGAGGAGTTTAGATAGAAGATAATCCACTTACATGAAGAAAGAGAGAGTTCAAAAACTGATTAAAGCTACAGAGAAAACATGGCTCCTAGCAACCACCTGGAAGAGCTGGTAGACCCCAAAACTGCCCCCATCAGATAAACAGCACTTAAAGCTTTCATCTCTGAGAGAGAGGAGAAAATCAAGCTGCTTCAGATCTGAAAACATCCACAGGTGTTTCTGTCCATCCTTCCACTGTGAGAAGACGACTCAGCACTGTGGGTCCGAAAGGATGTGTAGCTGTCAAGAAGAACCTCACTGAGAAAAGGAGACGGACACATCAAACAAAGAAGCTGAACAGTGGACTGACCACCCCAGAGTCCAGACCTCAACACCACTGAATGTGTTTGACTGCTTCAGAAAACGATCAGCCAGCTTCTAAGACTGAACTTTGCCCATTGACGTCTATAATAAGCAAGTTTTGAGTCATCAGGCTTTTAAGTACAAGTTCAGGGATAAGTGTAGAACTTGGTGTCTGTGCTAATGGACAGTACAATTTGACAATGAAGTGTTCTTATTTAAAGATATCAAGACTAAACACTGATAAACACCGATTAGGCTAATGTTGCTAACGTCATAATCTTGCATACGAACTTTCTTGTATCATATCCTGATGAATTTATCAACAAATCATGCACTGAGGTCATATGATACCTGTAAAAGCCGACAGCTGCTTTATTGAGTCCATTGGAACAAAATGTACAGCACATTTGATTCAAAATATTACTAAACATTTGGCAGCAACTAAGACAATATGTGAGACATACCAGCCTAATTTTTCCAATAGTTACTCTCAAAATATAGCAAAAATCATAAATCTCATTGATCAGACTGAGCTCTACCCATTTGAAGAATATACAGCTATACAATCAGTCAGGCTACCACATGTTGACCCTGACACAGAGGCCAATGTCCAGCAACTGAGACTATAAACCAGAAATAATACAGCATTGAACTGATGATTAATTTGAGCAAATAAATCAGTGGGAAAATTGACAAGTAACAGTGGAAGTACAAAACAAGTAAAGAACGACAAAACTGACTAAAACCTATTTTTCTCTTCAGTACATAAATACAGACTCATACAGATTCCACACCGTTCAAGTAAAATAAAATGGAATAAGTGAAACAACTTGACCATGAATAATACTGCAACTTAACAAAATTCAACATTTTGGCAGTTAAAACCATTTTTCTACTTTCCTTCAGTCAGATTAAATGAAATGATGGACAGTTAGCTTAGCATAATGAACAGAAGCGGCTAACAGAGCTAGTGCTTGGCGCTGATTTACTGCTGTAAACCTTTCCAACACTACACAGCAAAAACTTGTGTGCTCGAAGGCAAACGCTAAGACTTTTCTGTCTTAATGAAAATGAAACTATTTAGCCAACTAGCTAAGCAGAGATAGCGATCCCCTGCAAACCAGCAAGACTAGCATAACACTGTTGTCGGAGGAAAACCGTATCTCCAAAAATAGTAACTTTATAGGAGAAGGAAAAAACATACTCCACTTTTAATGTAAGTCAATGGAACCAGACTTTTTGTCCAAGTAATTTTGGGCCACTTTCTTCGTCCATTCATCATGAAATTTACACGCAAACGAAAAGGGCAACAGGTATTTTCAGATTATGTCAAAAACTGAAAAATGAAAAATAAAATGGAGATATGAGGTTTTCTTCCGACAGCATTGACGCATGTTGTGTGTTGGATGCTGATTTGCTGGTCAGCTAGAATGACCATACTGGATGACCAGCTAAAGCAACACCAGAAGAGCATAAACCATCTTAAACCAGCATATAATGTATGCTAATCTGTTTCTTTCAGTAGGGTCCAGCAGAGTGTTGTTAGCTAGCTAGCTAGCAAGCAAACTAGCTTTAAAGCAGTTTGCAATTCTGAAGAAATGTTGCCACAAGGTAAAACATGAGTGTCCAAAAATCACTGCTACCCCTTTTAAACGAAGACGCTTAATGTGCTAAATTAACTTTCAATGGTACAAAAAAGCCATTGCTAATATCGTCTGAAGCCCTATTGGAGCTGGATTATCTTAGATTAATCTGAGGTGCTGTAATTTCAGTGATTACTAATGAGATCTGTGATTTTAATCCAGTACGAAGCTGCCATTAATCTTCTATTACCTTCTATATGTGGCTGAACTCTGAGCGTCTTCAGCAATAGTAGTCTTTTTCCAGTTGACATCACAGTAATGTCCATTTTTACTCTTTTTCACAGCCTGATGACAAGGCTAACAGCTAAATAAAGCTTTATTGACCCAATTCCTTTATCCTCCAGGTCAGAGGTGTCCAGTCCTCATCCTGGAGATCTACCACACTGCAGAGTTAACCTCCAACCATAGTCTATCACACCTTAACCAGGTAATGAAGGCCTTCAGACCCATCAGAGTATTAGAGCCTGGTGTGTTGGATCTGAACTCTCCAGGGTGGTGGATCTCCTGGACCAGGATTGGGCGCCCGCGCTCAAAGTCATGACCGGACTACTGAAATCCACAACAGTTCAGGGTATATTCCTTCCTGTATGCTATGATTATGCAGCATATATTGTTACTGCCGTTGATAACAGGTGTCACCTGTTTGTTTTGCGTGTGCTATTTAACATCTAGCCTCTCAACCTGTTCATAAGTTTGGCGCCATATAATGTCATCTAATGCTGAGGTAAACATCTGTGTGATGATGTTTGGATCTGGGCTATTTGGGGTATTTTAGGGAAACTACACAGATCCTTTATCCTGTACAAATTGGCCAGTAAAGTCTTGCACAAATTACATAACTGAGCTTTATTCGTTTAGCCTTATCTTCAGCTTCCGACTCAAGGCAAGCAGAAAAATCAGAGTTAAATGCCAACATCTCAAATGTAAATTCCACCAGTTTTTCAAACTTTCAACATAATGCAAATGTTGGGATGTAAACAAAGTCATTCAGAGTGGCTTGATGTGAAATGATTCGGTGTAGAGACTCAATACGAGTCGAAGTGTTAATAAAGAAAATGACTCAACTTAGAGTAAATAAGTTGCTGAAAAACTACTAGAGTTACTGTAAATTACAGAAAGAAGTTCAGTGTTCAATGTTTGACTGGGTTTGTTGGCTACCTAAGCTAACTCATTTGCTTACCTTGAATGTTATCCAGCACTTGCAATAGAACGTTTAAGAAACAGTTTGCTTATTAATCTAAAATAACAACATGAAATGCATATAGAAAAGGAACATAGTAGCTATTTGGCTAAGATCAGTTAGCCAGCTAGCTAACTGCCTCCTCAGGTTGCAAGCTAAGTAACTTCTGAGTTTATATGGAATGTTGATGATGGAAAATAGTGGAAAATCTGAAATAATAAGTTTTCTTTGGGGACTATTTTGCCTCATAACGCCCCGCATATTGTCTAACCCTCCACCATGGATGGATTTTGAAAATATGTTTTGACCAAATCTCAAAACTACCATTAAACAGTGTCTCAGACATCAGGCAGTGAATTCATAACCATTTCATGTAAAAACTTTCTGTGAGGGAGATTTTAGAGGTGGACGTCTGGTTTTCCTGAACCACTCTGAGTGACTTTGTTTACAGTCTAAACCGTTCAGTTATGTATATATTTGGGAAAAAATTGGTAGAATTCATCTTTAAACGATTACTTAACAGAACAAATGACATTCAGACCCCGAACCTTCTCCATTTTTTATCGTCGTTTTAAAAAGACGTGCAACATGAGGCCTAAAATCCAGGTTCTTGTCAAATCCAGAGATTGACGATTAGCATCCTACCACGAATGACTTTCTGTTGTGCATATATCCGTTTGAGATTGTCCATCTGTCTTTACCAATGCAGAAATATCTCATCCTTTCATAAGAAATGAAGCAGTTTTGGATTTTGAGCTGAATTTAGCAGTGAGATAACATGCTGTTAAAGCGAAAAGGCTTACGATCATTTGGCAATCAGATAAGGGAAGGGCTTAGAGGAGTGTTACTGCAAAAAGTAGACATCACGTTACAGAACGATGAGTTTTTCCATCAGTTACTGGAGAAAAAGAAAAATCCGTTCAGAAAAGTGTCAAAGTGATTCTAAAAATTGTCGCTGTGCCACAGTATATAAAAAATATATGTATCGCAAAGGAGAAGACTTGATAAAAACGCCTTGTAGAACTTCAAAATACAGCTATACTGAAACCACATTAGTGTTTTGGCTTGACTGGCTGACTATGTGTCCTATCAGGACCGAGGGGCGGAAGGGAATATGCAAAAATCCACGCAGGGATTGGACTGAGGTACAAATATGCAGATTAGGGGGTGGAGTCAATTGATAACACGTAAGAAACCCCGAGGTGAAAGCCAAGCAAGTCCTCCAGGATTGTGCGGACGAAGAGGTGATCCTTCTGTGATTGGACAGGGTGAGAAGGGGAGAAGGGGGCGGAGTCCGGGCTGAGCGTCCTCTAGATGGCGAAGTCGTCCTGAGGGGCGGGGCTGAAGGCAGAGCTTCGGAGCATGTCCAGGCAGTTGACGAGGATGAGGGTACCTGTGAGGTGCTTCCAGCGTTTGGTGATGGGGTTTTTCATGCGGTCCAGGCCCAGGTGCAGCTCCTGGATAACATCGCGGTAACTGTCGCCGATCTGAGCCGCCCACGTCAGCAGGAAGTCGTAGGCTGGCTTCCACATGGCCTGGGATTGGACAGAGAGCGTTAGCGAGAACATTTTGGCTGAAAAAAACTTTTCCACAGGTTTTAGAGAACATTAATAAAGGTTCTATAGATATTTTAAAAGTATTCAGAGTAATGTTCTCCCCATATTCGCACTGTTCAAGAAGGTTCTCCCTTACTCAAACCATTCTAGAATGTTTTCCATCCATTCTCAGTGTTCTACAAAGCATTCCTGGCCTTCATAGTCTTCTAGAATGTTTTCCAGCCAGTCACACTCTTCTACAATGGTCTAGATTGTGGCTCTAGAGTGTTGACTCCCTTCACAGTGTACTAGAATGCTCTCCTGATTCGTACCATTCTAAAACGTTCTGCCCTATTCACCCTGTTCTAAAATGCGCTTGCCCATTCACAGTGTTCTAGAATGTTCTCCCATTTACACTGATCTCCCACTCACACTTTTCCTGAATGTGCCCCCCCATTTCGCTGTTCTAGAATGTTCTTTTTCTTTCATACTGTCCCAAAAAAATCTATACCATTTACACTATTCTAGAATGTTTACCCCAAGGATGCCTGCATGGTACTGGAAGGGTTACACCCACTATTCTAGTTAACCCCCTGTTCTAGAACAGTCTCCAGCCATTAATACCAATCTAGAACATTCTCCACCATTCAAAACATTTTAGAATGTTCTCCCCCTTCACACAGTTCTAGATCATTCTTCTCCCATTTACACTGTTCTGGACTGTTAACCCTAATTTAAATTGTTCTAGAATGTCCCCCTCCCATTCAAACTGTTCTAAAATGTTCTACCCCATTCATATTGCATTTAATTATAATGTTCTCCTCATTCATACTGTTCTAAAATGTTAACCCCTTCATGCTGTTCTAGAATGTTCTTCCTCATTCACACTGTTCTGTTCTTACATGTTCCACCCCATCTACACTGCATTTAATTATAATGCTACCCTTATTCGTACTGTTCTAGAATGTTAACCTCCTCATGCTGTTCTAGAATGTCCTCCTCCATTCACAGTGTGTAAACTGTTCTCTTCCATTCACACTGTTCTAGAATGTTCTGCCACAATACACTGTTTTCCACCATTCCAATCTTTCTGGAACGTTAACCCCCATCCACTCTGCTCTTAAATGTTCTTCACCAACTACACAGTTCTAGGGTCTTCTCCTATGTTCTAGAATTCACTGGTTTATTGGTTCTCTCAACATTCTAACACAAGTGTCAGCTAAGTTGTTATTACAGTTAATGTTTCCTGCTGTATGTTTGTCTAGAGGAGGGTGGGCACGATGACTGTGGTGGCTGTAAAACAAGTGTAACTTCAGGCCTGAAGCACAGCAGATCAAATATGTTTACATAAGCATTTATACAGCGTTTAAGTCCACATAAACCTGACTGCCTGTTTATTGGATACATTTGGCTCTCATATTTATTAAAACTGGCTCAAACTAATGAAACATTGATTAAAATTAATTGCATTAAACAGTGCAAAGCCAACAGAATTGCTCAGGTGATGCTGAGCTTTAGCACTAAAATGACCCGAATGTGGCGCCGACTCACAGCTGGTCTCTGACTGCACCTCTAGACGGAGATTTGCAGGAATTGCAGGAAATTGGTTCTGAATCCCACCAGGATGACTGAAATGCCTCAGTGGGAGCCCATTTAATTTAGACGGGGGAAAATCTTCTGAATGATGGTCAGCTACCACTGCTGCTCCTCAAATTTACAGTTTCCAGCCTTACCCCAAATATATTCGATCGGTTTCTCACTGGAGCGACGAGGCTAATGAAGTTAGCAAACAATGGAAGCTTATTCCCCACCAGTTAGTCTGGATCTAACTGCTTCAAAGCATGTGCAGTAGCCATTAAATTGCTAATAGACTCGATTATGTGGTTTCTGTAGCAGCAGCCGTCCCAAAGCCTGAATTCTGTTCATACTTTGTTCATTTTTACATTGTGTGATGATTTACACATGCAGGTTAATCATGTATGTGTGACAACACTGGGCCTCATTTACCAACCATTCTTAAGAAGAAATTCCTTCTTTAAACCCTCTTTGGCATGCGCCCGTCCCCTGGGCCCCGATGATGGCCATGAGAGCCGACAGGAAGGCAGAGCCCGAATCCCGGACGCCACCGAGGAGGACATCAGCCACCAGAGAGGGGACAATGATGATGGCGGCCACGAGAGGGACGAAGTGGGAAGTGGGTCCCGAACTCTGCTGCCAAGACCCCGCCTCCTGTTTCTGTTGAGCTCTGATTCCCTATTGGCTCAGGTACTCAGGTGATTTGGCTGGCAGCGTGAGCACCTAAGCCGAGAGGAGAGAAGAGCTCGTTGCTCCACCCCGCTGTCACTGCCCCCACCCGGCAGCTCGGCCGCCTGGATCGAACATGAGGTGTAGTGAAGCGGCCTTGATGCGGAACACAAGGCGGGGCCTGGGTGGCGGAGTTCGGGACTCCGCCTTCATGCCTCTCGTGGCCATCATCGTCGTCGTCCCCTCTCTGGCGGCTGACGTCCTCCTCCCGCTGTCACTTGTGTTCCTTGGCGGTGTTTGGTATTCGGGCCCCACTCTCCTGCCGGCTCTCGCAGCCATCATCAGGGTCCGGGGGACAGGTACATGCCATACCCACTTACGCAGTTTTTACAAAGATTCTGAATTCACCAGTGTTCTCTTATGTGGGGTTTATTCTTAGGTAAGAACAGAATCTACACACACTCAAGAGCACAAAGGTGAGAACAGTTCTGCGCTTTAAGAACACGTCATGAAACTGATGTAGACTTTTTCTTAGGACGTTTCACAAGAACACACATAAGAACAAACTGAGGAAGATAAGTGTGCTGAACTACATGCTAAATGGTTCTTTAGTAAAGAAAATCAGTTCTTTGTAGAACCACCTTTACATGATTAAAGGGTTCTTTGCACCATGAAATGGTTCTTCAGATTAATGGAGAATGTGCTGAACATGGTTCTATATAGAAAATCTTTGAAAATGGTTCTATATAGCACCACAAAAGGTTCTGCTATTGTTACGATGTCAAGCTGGTTACAATAGAAGAACACTTTTGGGTAGAACATCTACAGCACATTCTCCATCAATCTGAAGAACCATTTCACAGTGCAGAGAACCATTTAATCATGCACAGGGTTCTTTGAGTGTTCATGGTTCTATATAGAACCATTTTCCTTACTAAAGAACCCTTGATGCACCATCTTTTCGAAGAGTGTCCTTCTTTGCATAGGCACTCAAGTCTCTACAGCCTAAACTGTATCATATGTTTGTGTGTTTATGTTCTTCACCTCACTGTCCACCACTCCTGTCCGGTCTCTGTGTGGAGCCTCATAAGCCTCCATCTGCTGTTTGGACACTCGGGCCAGTTTCTCGGCCAGTTCCCTCCAGCGTGGGGCCACCTCCACTGCAGTGGTCAGCAGCACAAAGTCCAGAATCAGACGCGCCACCAAACCCTGACAGTCCATCTTCAGCAGAGCCTGGGAGACACACAGGAAACACAGTTGTTTTTGTAACTTGTCAGAACACATACATCCCATATACATTATCTATATGTAAGTACCTGTACGCAATAGCAATATGGCCCATATATATGATCTATATGTAAGTACCTGTACATAACAGTAATATGGCCCATATATATTATCTATATATAAATACCTATTTGGAATAATAGTATTTCCCATATGTGTTACATATCTAAGTACCTATATGCAATATGCCCTCATATGTATTATATATGTCGCTGCTGAACAGCCCAAAAGAAACGGCCCAAAATGATTTGTAAAAAGTCTGGCTCCATTGACTTACATTAAAAGTAAGGTATGTTTTTTCCTTTTTCCTGTTTAGTTACCATTTTGGAGATACAAGGTTTTCTTCTGACAACAGCGATATGTAGGTAACTTTATGTAATAATGTCCAATATTTAATGCAATATCATCACTGTCAGAACAAAACATCGTATCTTATATATGACCAATTTTTTCCACGATATTTTGGACCATTTTTATGAGAAATTCATATTTAACACAATGTAAATCTTTAGTTTTCAGTTGTGCAAAAAAAGTGAAAAATGACATTTTTTATGCATCACTGCAACAGGGATGATATGCAAGTTCCCATATGTATTATATATACATAAGTACCTAATCTAAATCTTAAGTTCTAATAACCAAACATTTTTAAAAAGTTTCAAAACTGAATCGCAGAGCTTTTGTACAATAAAACTTCTCTCGGTTCTGCAGGACAGAACTGTTTTTCTCTGGATTTATTTCATTAAAAACAAACAAAGACACTGAGGGACCTGTTAGAGAGGAGAAAGCAGAGAGGCAGAGAGAGAGAGAGAGACAGAGAGAGAGAGAGAGAGAGAGAGAGAGAGAGAGCAGAGAGAGAGAGAGAGAGAGAGAGAGAGAGAGAGAGAGAGAGAGAGAGAAAGACAGAGAGAGAGAGAGAGACAGAGAGAGAGAGAGAGAGAGAGAGAGAGAAAGAGTAGCGTGCGAGACAGAGGAGACAGGGTCAGACAGGCAGCTTCAAAACAGACATAAGACAGAGAGATCGAGAGAGATCGAGAAAGGGGATCAGTTAGCTGTGCTGTAAGCACTAGAAGGGAACCACTATGGTGGTCAGACACCGTGCAGCTTCAAAACAGACAATAAACTGACCACAGCAGCATCAGAGAGAGAGAGAGAGGGGGAGAGAGAGAGAGAGAAAGAGAGAGAGAGAAGAAGAAAGTGAGGGAGGGCGATATGGCAAAAGTATACATAAGCACGATACTTAAACACTTCAAGGCACCAAATCACAATATTTCATTCTTTGTTCTTTTCTGAAATTCACTGCCACCTTAAATTTACTGATACCTTAAATTTACCGCCACCTTAAACGCATTGCTACCTTAAATGCAGTTCCACCTTAAATTCAGCGCTACCCTTGAACGCAGTTCCACCTTAAATGCAGTGCCACCTTAAATGCAGTGCCACCTTAAATTCAGTGCTACCTTAAATGCAGTTCCACCTTAAATTCAGTGCCACATCAAATGCAGTTCTAACTTAAAAGCAACTTAATAATAATATCTACAATTAGAATTGTATTCCGTTTTTTACAAACTGCACCGAATCCAGTTAAACAGGACTAATTCTGCTCACTTTATAATAAAAATATGATGTCAGTTTTCTTTGTATACTCATGATGTCCACCATATAATTAATCACAGTAACCATAAAATATCATCATATTTCACACACACACACACACACAAACACACACACACTGCTGCCGCTCAGTTTACTCTCAGAGTGCTGAATCAGAATCACACTCTGATGCTGCTGTGGAGTAAGAAGTCAGTTCAGTCCTCTCTGTGGTGTCTGATTTAACAGCAGTTCAGTAAAGCAGGTCAGTCACTCAGCGGATCAGAGAGAACTCATCACACTGTTTCACTCTCTCACTCACTCACACGTTCATCAGCCCTGCTCATTCTTCACAATGATAACCTCAGCACAAAGACAGCGGCCTTTCATAAAGTCACGTCCAGCAGCAGGAAACCCAGTCCTTACAGGTCCCTCACTGGACACGCCGCGTCCAAACACTCAAAAATACCGCTTTTAATGAAGATACACAGCTTCTGTGTTTCAGCGCTGACGAGCTGAGCGCGCTGTTGCCACTCAGGGCTTCACCGTTACTTTACCATGGAGCTGTGACTCAGATACAGCACGTATATATGACCCAGATACAGCATGTAAAGGAATCAGATGCAGCTACAGTATTTAAATGAACCAGATCCTGAATTTAAATGAATCAGGTACAATATGAATGATTCAGATACAGTATACAGTATGTAAATGAATCAGATGCCGTATGTATCTGTGACTTAGACACAGTAGAAATAGTAATTACATAGTTAATAACATCGAACTTACATTTACATTTAGTTTACTGTATAGTCAGATTTGAGTCTGGACTTATGACTTTTTTCAGATTTAAAAAAAAAAAATATTTGTTTCTTTCTGCAAAACCAGCCTGTACACACATCAAATTCAAATCATAATACAATATCTCCTCTTTTACTCACAAACACTAGCGAGAGTGTAGAATCTGCACCTTCCACACAATCTCTCCACCTGTTTATATAAACGATGAGTCAGAAATAATTCATATATACTAAAGAGTGACGTTATTATGGGAGGCCTTAAGTGGCTCTGTTAAGAGCAGAGTCTTCTGGGTCCATCTCACTGAGAATCGAGTACAGATTAATCAGCGCTCGAGACAGAATGCAAAGTTTTGCACAATGCAAAGTTAGTGGCCCTCCGTCGAGCCACGCCGAGCCACGCCGAGCCACGCTCAGTCACGTCCAGCAGTGGTGAATTTAAATAGTTCAGATTAGAAATGCTGAGCTGCAGTGAGGAGCAGCAGGACTGACTGACAGGCTGGTTCACGTCAGCAGATCCACTGTGTTACAGCGCTGACAGATACATACAGAGAGGAAAACAAAGACTGAGCCACGTATGGCACTGTACTGTATCGATTCATAGATACATACTGTATCTGATTAACAGATCCATAATATATCCAATTCATACATTCATACCATATCCAATCATAGATTCATACTGTATCTGATTAATAGATCCATAATATATCCGGTTCATATATTCTTACCATATCTGATTCATAGATACATACTGTATCTGATTAACAGACCTATACTATATCTAATATGTACATTCATACTATAGTTGATTCATAGATACATACTATAGTCAATTAATTCATACTGTATCTGATTAACAGACCCAGATACATTCTATGTCCAATTCATAAATTCATACTGTATCCAATTAATACGTACATACTATATCTGATTAATAGATACATACTATTCCAAATTAAAAGATGATCATAATCAGATACAGAGTAATCAGAATCAGATACAGTATGTATTTATGACTCAGTTACAATAAGTATACCAATCAGATACAGTATGTATATGAATCAGATATAGTATGTATACACAACCATGAATGTATGACCCATATAAGTATGACTCACATACAGTTTGTATTTATGAGTCGGGGGCAGCATGTGTATATGATTTAGACTAGATATGATTTAGAGTATGAATTTCTGAATCAGATACTGTATGTATGTACAAATTATTAAGCATGTCTATAAATCAGAATGAGTATGAATAAATAAATTAATAATGTATTCATCAGATAATATATGGATTTATTATACTGAATGAAATTATGAAACAGATACTGAATTTATATATGAGTCAAGTAAAGCATGTATATGAACCAGATACAGTATGATATGAATATTTATGCATCAGGTACAGTGTGCATCTATGACCCAGATACAGTATGAATCTATAAATCAGATACAGTACAAATCTATGAATTAGATATAGCATGAATCCATGAATGAGATGCAGTATGAATATATGAATCAGACAGCATGAATCCATGAATCAGATATAGCATGAATCCATGAATCAGATACAATATGAATTTATGAATAGGACACTATGAATTTATGAATCGGATACAGTATGAATCTATGAATCAGATACAGCATGAATCTATGACTCAGATACAAAATGAATTTATGAATTGGGTACAGTATGCATTTATGAATCAGATATGGTTTGACAGTGAATCAAATACAGAATGTATATATGAATCAGATACAGCATGAATCTATGACTCAAATACAGTATGAATTAATGAATCAGATACTGAATATATCTGTGAATCGGACATTAGAACCCCTTTAATTCTGTGCTGAATGTTCGAAAGTTGCTCCACCTACTAAACACACACTCATATAGATACAGCGGACAGAGAACGTAAACATCTGTGCAGCGTATACATCACCACCCACACACTCGCTTATCTCTCTCTCTCCCCACACACACACACACACACACACACACACACACACACACACACACAGTCAGCAGCAGGAAGTCAGGGACATGCCTTTCTCTCTTTGTCTCTCTCTCTAACTCATTCTCTATCTCTCTCTCCCTTTCCTTCACTTCTCTCTCTCTCTGTAGTTTCCATGGGTGAATAACTGCATCCTTCAAAACACACAGCCAGTCCTGTTTCCTGTCTCCCTCACACACACACACACACACACACACACACACACACATATATATATACACACACACCCCACCCCCCCACCGAGCCGTATTTGGAATAGGAATGGGTCTGTGGAGAATAGAGTGGTAATCCCCACACTGCTTTGTGTGCTCTGTAAAATAGAGGGATGAAAAGAAAGGAAAGGACATTCAGAGCTGGAGGAGGAGGAGGAGGAGGAGGAGGAGGAGGAGGACATGGTTGGGAAATATATAAGTATGTGTCTGTTTGAGTGTACGAAACAACAGGCAGTTATAATCTGTTCTGGTCCGTCTGCAGAGTTGCAGCGTAACTCATCAGGACATCAAGACTATGAAGTAATGCATATGGGACTGTCAGTG